TAACATGAGAACAGAAAAACACGGGTCAATCAAATAAGCTAAAATGTGAAAATACCCAAAATGATAGCAAAGGAGTAATTTTATGGTCCAAACAGAGAGTTATTGTCCAAATGGCAAGATTAAAGTACAACAAATCTGAACAACTTTTAGCAAAGGTAAGATACAATGATGTCAACATTCTCAAGCATCAGAATCAATATATGAAAACCATTACTCCATCTTCAAAACCCTCTTCCCAAATCCTATAATCTTATTTTAATTAAACCTATCTCACCCATCAAGCACCAGTAGGAGATTCCTATATATATTCTACATCACTAAGCACAGCTGACCAAGTGATATCGCTTGCTGAGGCACAAAAGACGCAAAGTAACATGCCAGTTTCCCTCCTACCCAAGAATATTTAGACAGAGAAGAGAGGTAACTAGTACTTGCTGCACCACGTGTGTGTGCAATATATGTTCTGAAACAAAAGCATTTTAAGTTGAATATAAACCGAGCTTTCAGAAATGAGATCACATTACCTTTTGCCAGTTGTCATTACAGCAATTGAACCAATGACATGCACAGCATCTATCAGAGTCATCATTCTTGGCAATTTTTGGTAGATGCTTCACCATTACATACTCTTCCTTCAGCTTAGGGCCATACTCTGGTGAAAATGACAACTTTGAAACCTCCAAAAACTTGCAAACCTACAAGAAAATTGAAAGAGATAATAATACAAACAATAAAAGAGGGAAATAGAGCCAAAAAAAAAAATTAAAACATAAAACACATAGTAGTTAACAACCACATTCAAAGTTCTAAGTTCTAAGAGTAAACCCATGGCACTTGAACTAGACTACAACTACATAATCCTTTCAATTTATCAAAAACCAGTTTACTAAACCAGCAGTTAGGAGGCTTCATCTATTGCATGATTGTTTCATGAAGAAAAGGAAAGCTTAGTTGAATTTTGTCATCTATTATCACCGCAAATACAGGAGGCGAAACTGAGCAAATATCAGTAACTAAAGTAATCTAAAATTTACATGGTTATTCTCTAGGCATGGCATAGTCTATTAAAGGAAGGTCTAATACCTATAAAGCTAAATGTAAATGAACAACAAATGATTGCCACAGATGCATCGCAATATCACCGTGTTTAGGAATGCATACCTCTCGAGAGTTAACAATATCCATATTTCCAAGAAAGTGATTCAAATATTCTTGCATTGCAACCTTTGCTCTGTCCGACATAGAAGACTGTCTTCCTAAAGCCGGTCTTATAACTGGAAGAGCAGCACTTGACGGAACATCCCTGAGTATATAAAAAAAGCCACTTATAAGCACAGGTAGTTAAATTTTCTTCTCTTTTCTCCGTTAATTCGTGATAACAATGATCACCTGTTTTTAGCACTTTCATCATGATGTAAAGGAACAACATCATCATCCGGTTCATCTTCATCTTGCACAACAGGCGCGTTGTCTCCTATTCCTAGATTTTGAAGCCATTCTTTAACCTTTAATATAATAATATTCAGTGTGAAAACCATATCAAAATCCTAACCTTTCCGAAGCAAACAGTTATTAATCAGCAGAAAATTTCAAATTACATCAAAACACTGTCGTTTTGTTTTATCTACACACCTGTTCTTGCTTCTCGTGAATTTCTTCAATAAACAATCGTTTCTTCAAAGCAAAATGTAAGTAAAAAACCTGTGAAGCTTTCTTCAATAACCGCCACTTAAACTGAAAAATCAATGAAAGAAGTTAAGATCGAAACATGTAATTCGAATTTTAAACTATCAAAGTAATTTTTTACAAGGAATTGATTAAAACTTGCTTGTTTGTATCGGAATTCGATGGTGTAAGATAAGAGCATGGGGCTGATATCGCCCGCGTCGGGTCTGGAGACGGAGACGATGGTGGCTTTAGGCAAGTCGTCAAAAATCCGAGTAGACTCGGGGGCGACACCTGGAGCGAACGACAAGAATGATGACATCATCGAGGGTAACGGCTCAGATTGCATCTGGTAGTACCGGGGCCCACCTCCGGACATCAATTGTTCAGATGCCATTTACTGGTAAATCAAAGATCCGAGAATTTCTTTCCTTTTTTTCTGTTCGATCTAATAATTAAAAATCGAGAATATAAGGGAATTTGTATCCAGAGCTTTGAGAAAAAGGAGAAATTGGAAAGAAAGGAGAAGAGGAGACAGAATTGGCTTTTTGAATGGTAATTTTCGTTGTTTCTTTTTGGAATAATATAATAAATAATTGAAAAAAAAATGAGAGAATGACGTCGAATCTGGATATTTTTTGTTTGGTTTCTGGTTGGTCCGAACTTGAAAACACGGAAGTGATGAGCTGATGCCAATGAAGCATGGTTTTTTTTTAAGTACTTTAAACTTTTAAGTTTACATTATTTAATTATTGGGTAATTTATTAATGTTCCCCAATGATCAGTTACTTAGCCTCTCAAATCAAAATCACAAATCACAAATATAAAAATTTTACCCACTTGACAAAAATCGTTTTTCCTGAGTTTAACCGATGATAATTTATTGATCTCATATCAAATGCTCCATTTCTAGTCATCTGCTTTAGATTATCGGTTAAAACACATTTTATTTAAATTTAAAAGCACTGAATAATTTATTTATCTGGAGTGAAATTTTGTTAACAAAAAATATATATATAAATTTTGCAATAGAATTTTGCTTATGTGAGCATAATTTTCTTTGCTTGTTTCGTCTCGTCAATTTGATAAAAAAAATCCATTTATTCTATATCACTCAAGCATGTAATTAAATAATTAATGCATAATTTTTAATTCAATAATAAATGTATAATTTCCTACTTTTACCGTATAAAATTTGGATCCACTTTCCTTAAATAACATATATATATATATATATAATAAAGAATAATACTACTATTTTGTTAAGAACTAAGAAGATTACGATAAAATTTTGTATAATTAGTAAAATATCCACTCATAAAATGCATTTTTCAATATGATAAAAATCTTTTGAATGAACCCTTAATCAATTCAATTAAGGGTTCTTAAACTTAATCAAATAATCAAGACAAGGTAAAAATAAAAAATTTAAAAGTTTTACTTAGAATGTTGCTCGATTTTGTTAATTACTAGTCATAGTACTTATTTGTTAGTACTAATGCTATCTTTGGATATATATAAATTAAAAAAAAATTAAAAAATATATATACCCCTTGTTTAAATAATTAAAATTAATAAAAAAATTCTTACAATCATTATTTAGATAAATAGTTAAAATAAAAAGAAATAATTCATTTTAATATTTTTTTAATTATAACATTTTTTTTATAAAATAACATATAACATATAAATATATATTTATACTACTTAATTTATATAAACAAATCTTTTTAAATAAAACTGAACATATTTAATTCGATATAAAACTAAACATGTTTAATACGATAAGATATATTAACTTATTTATTTTGATAATAATTTAACTTATTTTATTATTAAAACTTAAAAAATCATAAAATATTTATAAACTATAATATTATATAAAATACTTAAAAAAATTATTTTTACAAAAAATATCATTTATATAATCAAATTTAATATCATAATAAAAATATAAATATAATAATATTTTTATAAAAATAAAATTTTTTCAACTTTTTTTTCTTTAGCTTTTTTTCTAAATTGAGATATTAAAAAAATAAAGATTAAAAAAGAAACAAAAAATTATTGAGTTTCCAACACTTTTCTTTTTTTTAAATTAAAAATTTATCTAAAAAAAAAGAACGTTTTTCTATTTCCATTACTTTCTTTTACTTTCCTTTCCTTTCTTTCCTGCCCCTCAATCCAAACAGTGTAACAGATAGATTTGGCTACCTCATCTGATCAATCATAAAGAGCACGAGTTATAAATGAGCAAAAGAATTGAAGAGGTGCGGGACCGAGACTGTCGTGACCATGGTACCCTGCCTTAGGTTCTTCCATCATTGATTACATTTGATATCATTAGCAAATTGCCAAACTTTTCCTATATTGCTAGAAACATATGAATAGACATCAAACCTGGACTATTACCTCCATAAAATAGATGATCCTGATCATACATGGGGATGACTCAAGAATCAACTACACCAGAGAGAATGCTAAATGAAAGGCAGCAGCAGCGCTTTCCGAGCCATGCTTGCATCCCTTCCCATTAGCTTGAAGTAGGACCTCTAATGCACAATAATGCAAGACAACTAAGATTCAGAGAGAACAGTGGTTCAATGTTTTTGACCAGTTACCCACCATTCTAGATTTGGGTCAATTCAAATGTGAAAGAAGATATTGTAATAGCAAAGGTAAACGATGGGGAGGGGGTGAAGGGTCAACAAACATTTCAAAATCATAGCACATGCATCATAATTGAGCAATACTCTAATACCACAAACACCTTCATTTAACATAAAAGCTCCGGGATTTCCAAAATTCCATAATTTATAATTAAAAATTTTAACATAAATGAAAACAGAGTTTTGCAAACAAACTCCTAAGGAGAAAACAAAAGGCATTAACATACAAAGTTTAGTGACCTTCATTATTTCATTCACTTCCTGGTCTTCTTAACTCCCCTGCAAATATCAAAAGAAATCCAAATTAGACCTGTTGAAACCGATTAAACAACAATACAGGAATATTATTAAGCATCTTACTCAGCCTGTTGTGGTGCAGCTGCAGGTGCTGCCTTCTCACCAGGTCCCTGGATGGTCAAGAAACCAAAATTAAGTCACAAATAACCAACTACAAGCAAAGAAAACAAATATACAGATGAGCCTCTACTGAATCTTCTAGACATGGTATGACAGTCACACAGTTTTGTGGTGATGCAGTGAATAAGCGACATCAAAATATAGCTTAGTGTCTAAAAGCTGCCATGTTCCAATAAGAATGCTTTCTTAGAAGATAAGTTATTGTTCAACATAGATCACTTGCACAGATTCATATAAAACAGGAAAAGCAACAACCAAATGAATACTACATTCAACTTCATACATTCAGAACCCTAGATTAATTCCCCCATCGCAATATCAAATATATGAATGAAAACAGGTGTCTAAATTACCTGTGCAAGGCGTTCCTCTCTTCTGGCCATCTTTCTCTCCCTGCTTGCCTTGTTCTTAGCACGCTTGGCCTCAAACTGGTCAGTGAGTGTCTTTTCTCTTGCTTTCTCAGCCTTGGACTTGTGGATACTTTCCATCAAGACACGCTTGTTCTTAAACACATTACCCTTCACCTTCATGTACATGTCATGGTACATGTGCTTGTCAATCTTCTTGGATTCCCTGTACTTACGAAGCAAACGCCTCAGTACACGCATTCTCCTCATCCAGAGGATCTTTGTTGGCAACCTTGCCTCTCTGGTACCCTTCCTCTTACCTGAAAGTAATTAGAATATAATTATGTCTTGCTTACCCTGAACTTTAAGGAACAAGGGAACCCATTCATGCCTTGAATTGTGGATTAACCATACCATATCCAGAGTGTCGGCCCTTTCTCTTGGCCTCCTTCATCCGGCGTGCACGAGAACGGGAGTGAATCTTGGTAGGCTTCCTAATGATAAAACCATCCTTCACAAGTTTCCTAACATTCTGCCCTGCAAACAGTAATCAAATCATTAACATACAAACCAATTAAGAAGAGAAAATATCCAACAGCTTGATTTAACATAACAGATTCAAAAATCACGAAGCTGCTTCGCACCGGTTCAATTTAAGATTCAATGGAACAAACAGGGCTAAACAGCAAATTTTAAAAATTTCCTTTCTTGAAACAACAATTGTAGAACAGTGTTACTGTATCACAACCTAATAATAAGTAGAAATTCAGATCCTCAAATCTATCATTTCCTTTCCTAAGTTTTCTGAGAAACCAAACAAAGCCTAGACAATCAAAGACAAACAAAACAGCAAGAGCGTATTGGATAAACAGATTTGGATATGCATTTAGAAATGATTGGAATAAAGATAATAAACTAGAGAGAAAGCAACTTACTGGAGTTGGCCATGGAGATTTCGTTGATTTCATTCGGGTCGAGCCAGACCTTGCCACGGCCGCACTTGAGGACGCTAGCGGCGAGCCGCTTCTGGAGCTTCAAAGACACCATAGCTGTCTTCCTTTCTTGTCTCCCTCTTGGTGTGTCTCAGTCAGCAAAGTTGAAGCTCAACGGTTTTTGCGAACGCGTAGGCGGCAGCTTCCAACAAATATAGTGACTCCGTAGGATTTTTAGGGTTGGTTTGTGGGTTTTGGGCTAAAAAAACAAAAGAAATTGAAGAGAAAAAGAACGGATTGCTATCATGATCCAACCCAAAATCACCTTTAATGGCAAGATAAGGACGTGTTTGGTATATAAAATAACAATAAAATAATATTATAAATTAAATTAAATTAAATAATATTATTTTATTTTATATTTGATGTATAAAAATTATAATAAAATAATTTATTTATTAATTAAAATTTTTTAAAATTTATATAATTTTTAAGAGTATTATAAAATATGTAAATTTAATTTTATGAAAATATTGAATCATCTTTTTATATTAAGAGAATGATTAATCATTTTTATAATTATAATAAATTTTTTAAATATAAATCAAATATAATATAAAATTATTATCTTCTTATTTTATCTATAATTTTATATATAAAATATGATCTAAATTTGTTTACTTTACCGTACATCTAATCTATTTATTTATAATATTTTTATAGTGAATTCAATGTTCAAAGGACTCATAATAATAATAAAAAAAAAAATCTTTTATTAAGCATTATATTTTTCTTATTTTTATTGTAAATCCAATGTTCAAGGGACTCGTAATAAAATTTCTTATTTTAGTATTTTATATAAGATTCTCTTCCCTTCTTGCATAAAATAACACTTTTCTTCAACCCCCATTATTTAAGCTTTTAATCTGTCTTTAGTTAAAAGTTTATTTAAGATTACATTTATATAATCAAATTGCTTAATAAATTAATTAAGTATTACATTCATATAATTAATTGAATAATAAATTGTTACGCTATAATCAAATTATAATTATTAAATAATTAACTAATAAATTAAAATATAACTAAATAATCAAATTCACATATATTGAAACTAAAAAATAAATAAATGTTGAAGAAAATTAAGGATGGATTAAGAATTAAAAAATTATTATTTATTTACTATTTCTCTAAAACGTAATCTATTAATAAGAAAAAATATATTCGAGTTAATTCAATTGATAAAAAAACACTTTTTTTCTTGTTAGTGCGGTCTCGATTCTTATAAGTAATGCTTTGAAATAAAAATTTTGAATATACGAGATTAATATGAAAAAATATATTTTTTAATTTAATAATGAAAGATAAGTCAAAGCAAAATGTAAAAAACACCAAACTAATTGTGCGGGGGAAAGACAATTGGGCCCAAATTGATATCCAGACAGGCAAGAAAAAATCCGCCAATAACTGGGCTTAATTTCAGCTACAATCTCAAAGCCCGCTATTCATTCAGCACGGTTCGGCCGGCGGGTTTTCCATCTCTAGTAAACTATAAACCAACCACCGCCACCCGTCCAAATTCAACTGCCAAAAAAAAAAAGAAAAAAAAAACACGTTGCGGTTTTACTATTCATTTTTATTTTGCTCTTTACCTTCCCTCCACAAAATCTAAATTCTATTCCAACATCCCTTCCCCAATTCACCAAATCTTCTCTCAAAATCCCTAAAATTTTCCGTTTCTCAAATTCAATTAAGTTCAATTCCTCATGGATCTCTCTTCAATGTGCGATACGCTACCGGTTGCCACTTCCCAAGGCCTAGGGTTTGCGAAATTGATTATCGATCGCCACCATTACTTAGCTGGAAACAATTGGCTTTCCCTCTCCTCCGATTCATCCGCCGATAATCTCGGAATCCTACATGTATCCGCCGGAATCGTCCCGGTCGACGCCGTCGCGCCTCCTCCTGTCAAGACCAACTCCTATAGGACATTACCTCGAACTCTCCTCCGGAGGAAGCGCCGTACCAAGCGGAAGTTATTCGGCGGCGATGAGTTCAACGACGGTGAAGAGTACGTATTCTTCTTTGGTAGTGATGGCGGTGATGGATATGGTCCGTTTGGCGGTGGCGGTGGCGGTGGTGGAGGGAACAGTTGGGGTGGGAGTGGTTGGAATTTTGGAGGCCAAAATTGGGATGACTCTTCGTCTTCTTCTCCATGGACTGTTACGGCTTTGGACTTTGTTTATGAGGTGATTTGTTGGATCGCCTTGTCCAACTGCGTCCATTTTGCTTTTAAGAAGGTGGTTAGAATTGTGGCAACTGGGATCGAGGAAGCTGGCGACAGGGACAAGGTCCCGATGAGATTGGCTTCAGTTTGCTGATTTGGAGATTCATTGGGTATTCTAAAATCTCTGCCGTTTATGTATCAAATTCATGTTCAATGTACATATGGTTGTATGTGCTCATTGTTTATAATTATAATAACATTTTACTAGCTATTCTCATTGCTGCTGTTGCTTATTTGTTTTGAAGAATGCAATGGGAATGTTGTTGAATTGATTGCTGAAAAACTTGTGGTGTTGTTTGATTGTAGAGATACTCCTCTAAAGTGTAGAGGCTATGTTGTAACCTTTGATTATTGAATGCCTTATGTTGTAGGATCTGATGGAGTACATATATGGCACTTCAGTTTATATGCTTGACCCTCTAAGGACAGAGAATTACTTTAGTTTGGGTATTTTAGGTTCTATGTGGAGTGAGGTAGAAGTGGAAAGCTTCATTTATGATCTAAAAAGAATAGATGTGTAAGTAGTGGCTTCATAGTTTCTGCGGTTATTGTTCCATGGCCTATTAATACTGAGGATAAACTAGGTAGTCCTAGTTCAAAGACACACTTGTGTCAAATTCATCACACACAGAAGCTCAGAAGGTGCAAAGAGATACCATTTTTTCAATAGTTTGACATTGTGCTTGTTCCATGACAGTATGACACCCTGCATTGGAGGGTTTTCAAAATGAATAGTGCATACATCGTCTCCTTATCTCAATGAGTGATCTGTATGTTTAGATTTTAGTAGTACTGTTATTAAGATTAAGTAAGGTTCAAGTTGCAAGGAACGAGGAATCCCATCAAATGAATTAGTAGATAATGATCTTTATTACTGGGGATAAAAACAAATTTTGCTTGGTAGTCAGCAAGCAGGTTGGACACCTTGATATTGTGTTGCGCTTAATCTATTCTGTTTGATGACATGGAAAGTATGATGATCAATTTATACTGAATTAGTGATCAAGTAGCATATATAAATGCAGTAATGCAGAATCGAACCTTGCTATGTGCTGTGTGTATGCTGACACTTTTCTATGACCTATACTAGAGAAAGAAGGGGGGGATTATGTACACTAGCGTGCACATTTCCTGTCGTTGGCCTATGATTATAACATTAACCACTGACTGATCCGTGCCATTTTTGGTCATGTCTACCATGATGTTTCCTCAACCAAATCTTACTCGGTCTCTTTTTCCAGACTTGAAACTCGATGTTAGTGGAATAGATGGAATTTCGGGGTAAGTTTCCTAGTTTTTATGACATGGGGATGGACTGTTTATTATGTTGGAGATCAATTTGTTATCATTGTTTAAAATATTTTTGATTTGCATGTAGTTCTTCTCATGTGGTAGTCTCATGATTATATTTTTAAATAAATAGTCTAAAAGTTCTCATCTTGCACTAGTAATTCAATTTTGTCCGGATTAATTATAATTTATTTTTTTATTATTATTTGGGCTGATTTAAGCTTTTTTTTTTTTCGAGCTCAATTTGCACTTTTTTTTAGCCGATTTAAGTGATAAATTGAATTTATTTGAACTTATTGCAAATTAGTTTTTTTTTTAATTTTTATTATTATTATTTAGAATTAATTTAATTAATTGAAAAATTACAATATATATATGAATAATTAATTAATTAATCAAATTATTATTACTATAATTAATAAAAAAATACTAAAATAAAATGTAATTAATTTACAAAAAAATAAATAAATTACAAAAAAAGAAAAAAAAAAAAGCAAACAAAGTGGCCAACAGCCACTGCCATAACAAGCCAAATGCCCAAGGTTTACACAGTGCACCAGCCACTGCCCCTGCTCACCAGGCCAATATCGCACATTCCCCAGTCCCTGCTCCACCACTACCCTGCACTTCACTACTCTGTGATTCTGAAAGTTTTGGATTGATTACAACTGGTTAGATTAAAAACCAATGAAGGAGGCCAGCACCCATCAGAAAGAGGAACACACAAAAAAGCTTCATTGAACCATCCTACCCCTTTCATCAACCCTTCTTCAGCACCGTTTACAGTCCCAGCAGAGGAGCTTGGCTCTAGTATCACGGACTTAAGGGAATCCTGAATCTCACATCGAACATAATAGGAAGGTCACTGGAGTATAAAAGGGTTCACACCATCTTCGCCTTGTAAGACGCCTTTTGTAGGACAAAACCGTGAGGCCAAGGGGCCAGAGCGGACAATACCTCACAAGGGTGTGAACCGTGACGAAAGGCTGATCTGAGACGCCGGAAGGGTGAATGCCCGGATCCCGGAGCCGCACGGGTTCGGAGCTTGAGTCTCGACCCGTGATAAGTGGTATCAGAGCCAATCCTAAACCGTTCGATCCACGCCAAGCACCTCGAGGGAGGTAGGCAAGGTGACCAGCCTCCGTGACGAAGACGTCACGAGGTTGGGTGCGGGAGAATGTCGCGGACCTAAGGAGAATCCTGAATCTCACATCGAACATAATAAGAAGGTCACTGGGTATAAAAGGGTTCACACCATCTCCGCCTTGTGAGACGCCTTTTGTAGGACAAAATCGTGAGGCCAAAGAGACCAGAGCGGACAATACCTCACAAGAGTGTGAACCGTGATGGAAGGCTGATCTGGGACACCGGAAGGGTGAATGCCCGGATCTCAGAGCCGCGCGAGTTCGAAGCTTGAATCTCGACCCGTGACACTAGTACCAACCAGCCTCAGCTTGACCCCAAGCCCTTCCAAATCAGCACCTCCACACACCTAAACACACCCTGACACCTGCACCCACACACCCATAGACCCCAGCCTGTGCGAGACCAAACCACTTCAGCTTCAGACCTCATTTCGTATACCCAGCCCCTTAGCACTTACTCGCACAATCTCGGCCGGCTAGCCTTCACGCACATTCCCAACCTTTGGCTTTTAGAACCCCAATACCCAGCATGCCTAGTACCGACCATTACCCCAGCACCAACTCCGTCACCATCAATGTTTCACTCGTATTCGGCCTCCTACCTTCATCAATCCACCGCAAGCAACCTCCCCCAGTGAAATATTACTTACCTAACAGCTATCAATCATCCCAAATGCCTACTGACTAGCCGAAACCTATAGACTCCCAAATCAATAGCAACACAAGACAGCCAAACATTGAGATCCCGTCACACTGCCGTCATCGACAACCCTTCCTTGAGCTTACAGCCTAATACTGAAACCCACCACCACCATCACCATACCGAAAACCCCGTCAGAACCAAGCCTTTTATTTGAAACATACAAAGACAGGTAAAAGAAACCCAGCTAAAAACATCCCTGTTTGCCCCAATAGATCCACATAAGAAAACACTACAAGCAACCAGGAAAAACCAAAGGTTCCACATCTCCTGGGAGGGGAGAAGTAACGCCAACACAATAAAATAGAGCATAAAAAAAAAAAGCAAAAACAGCAACTAGTTTCGAAAGGGGGCAATTGCGTAGGTTTAGAGGTGGTTTTGGTTTTGATCTATAGAGAAAGAAAGAAGGAGGAACAAAGAAAGATAAAGGGGAGACCATAGCCGACAATGATAACAACAGAAAGGCGGCGGCGACTCATAGTGGCTTACGACTGTTCGACTTTGGGGTGATCAGAAAGGGTGGAAAGGTAGAATATGGAGTGAGGAATGACATACTTCAGTTTGGGGACGATCGGACGGTGGAGGAGATTTTTTAAGGTTTGAAATTTCGGGCTTCGAGCTTAGATCTAGGACTTTAGATGGCACTTTAGGAAAATCCGAGCTCAGATCCACGACGAAGGAGCCCAAAAGAGGCTTGGTACTATTTTCTAGAAGAAAAACAATGCCAAATGACAGTGGTTAACGACAGCGAGCAGCTGTCTGATCGGTTGTCGGTAGCCAGATTCTGGGCTATGAGAGGCTCTGCTGGGTTCTATATAGAGAAAGGCAGGGTTAAAAACAAGGGTAAAGTCAAACCGGTCAAACTCGACCGGTCCGACCTGTTACCCAGCTCCTCCAGACCGACCCGTTAGCTCCATTGGGCCCAATCCATGACCCAACTGTAATAGAGTCACATAGCCCTTTTTTGGGCCATTGAATTATTCGGCTTGGATTTCAGCCCAAAATCAAGCCTGGTATGATTTCCTCACTTAGTTTTATTTACATATTTGTTTCATTTATTTAAGTATTTGTTTAATAATAATAATAATAATAATAATAATAATAATAATAATAATAATTTTAATTTTATAGAAAGCAAGAAATATATATAAAATATATAAGCATATAAAAATCTATTTTTAAAAAAGAATTATAAAAACGATCTTACCCTGAAAGTTTGCCTAGATGTTGAAGACTTTTAAATAAGTTCGTAAATTCTTAAAATTGAAACTCGAACCTACCTAAAATCTCAAACTTGTTTTAAATTTATTAAGATTTGCATAAAAACTTTTTATGAAGTAATCTGTTTCAAAATATCGCCTAGATATTGGGGTATTTAAAAAATTTTATTTCATTAAGAATTTTTATACATTTTCACAACTCAAAACAAATTCGTTGTATTAAAACCATGATTATAAAAATATAAAATAATAATAAATAATAGGACAAGATTTTAAAAATAAAAATTCGCACCTAAACTTTGCATAAATGTTGGAAAGTCCAGTGGTTTCTTTATATTTAAACCCGCTTTTTGAATTTGCATTCGATCATCATTTTGCATTTGTTTCATTTTTAGATTAATGTCCTCATTTATACTGCATATATATGTTTGCTCTAGTTATGGTCGTTTAATATTAATTATATTATTATATTCCGTTTTCAAAACACAAAAGGTTTTTTTTCCTTAAAATTTTCAATTTTGAATAAATAAAGTTAAAATACCATTCTATGAAATATAATTGATTAGTACTCTGTTTAGATGTTAAGAGTCATTAATAATTATTATCTACAATGAATGTTATTTTATTATATTTAGAAGGAATATTATAGTAAATCTTAAATGAAAAGATTATTTTTAAATTTTACCTTTATGTCGAAAACTTTGAAGGTATTGTTTTAATTTGAAAATTTTCATAACATTCCTAAGTAAAGACTTATTTAACTAATTTTATCTCTTACAAAAAAAGGGAATTAATTAAATTTGATATAGAAAACCATTTTTATCCAAAATTATAAATAACGCATGGTTAATTAGTACCAATTTATGGGTATTGTAGAAGTGTTGATCCTTCTCCACACGTAACCGACTCTCGAACTCGATCTTATTTTTGTAAACTAAAATCGTCTTTTTAATAAAGTTTTAAACTTGTTTTATAGTTTGATTAAAAGGATAAACTTTTAGGTGGTTAATCACACCTTAAAAAAGATTGGTGGTGACTCATCGTGTTTTTTTCACCGGACCAATATGTTATGACAACTTGACAACTACAATGGAGAATTTTGAGAGTTAGGCTAAAAATTTTAATTATGCATTATTAATAATTGTTGGATTTAATTTGTTTTATTTGATATTTAATTTAATTCCCTTTATTTTACTTTTTCAAAAAATATATACAAATTAATAAATAAAATAAATTGTATGTTAGTTATTATTTTGTTTTGATTTTGTGCTTATGATTTATTTATGATATTTGATTAATATGTCACTTTGCACATTTTTGCATATTCATTTACATGCATGAACTCTAGACTCAGCCTTTATCCTTATTACGAGAAAGTGAAGTAGTTATGCTCTCGTGAGATGATAACCTTCGTATTTGTTTACGAAATACTTTCATTCAAATCCAATCTTTTTTCATTAGTAGCCTGCAATGGGTGAGGATTAAAGAGCCTTACTAGTCTATAACGAACGACGATGTGAGGAATAGTTTGGGAACCTTAGATAAATACATCCTAACCCGGCATATTGAGAGCCATAGGAAGCTTGCCTAAGGTAGAGCCATGTCACATTTTTAGAAAATCATCAAAAGTTAAGACACTATATACATTATATTATTTTGGTGTATGGTTGCTATATTATTTCTATTACTTGTTTGTCTTGAATTATTAAGTCATTTTATTTTTTTATATAATCTTTGATTTTGTTACTTACATTATATAGGCATTATATTTTAAAAAGGGATATTTGTTTTAAGTCAATCATCGACAAAAAAAAAAAGAAAAAAAAGAGTTCTCATGGAGCCATTAATGGCATCAACCTTTTGTAAAAATTATTTAGAAGTCCAAAGCGATGCCATTTTTTCTTTCATAAAAATTACCCGAATTAGGATATGTGGGGCACTTTGATACAGTTTGTGTTTAAGGGTAATAATAGTGCAAAAAAGTTAAGATAAAAAAAAAGATGAAAAAATGGGCAAAAAAGATCCAAAAAAATTTAGGATAGGTAAAAAGTTTATTTTCTTTTTGGAATTTAGTCATTCCATTCATCATTAAGTTGGCTTGTATATTTTTGGATTATTCCATTTTTGTATATATCT